TATATATATATATATATGTATATATATATATATATATATATATATATATATATGATACCCCAAAAGCTTAAACCGCTTCATAATGGCTATTCTGCTTGATTTGTGAGCAGATATTTAGCCCCTCGAAAGAGCCAAAGACTAACAAATAACAGCCCAAAAAACGGTTCATGTCCGATTCAAATAAGCTAGTCTCACGGCTGCACTCCCACAACAGATTTGTTACTTTGTTAGTCGAATGTTTCTTTCCAATAAACTCTGCTTCCTTCCTCCTTGAGTGCAAGAAAAGACCCTCCCACCGACTTCCCCACCATTTAAACTATATTTTATATTGTAGATACTCTGGTTAATCGAAAGGCGTATTTGGTACGCCCAGCTCCGAACACATTCCCAAGTGGATTGAGTGAATCTGTGCCAGAATTCGTATTATTGAACATACGCAAGAGACTAAGCACTGGGTAATACAAAGACGCATTATTATTGATTGCTATGCCAAGAGACAAAAACAAATACTGAGAACAATCAATATGATGGCTATCGAGAAGTTTAAAAGTTAGCCCTGTGAGAGTCGTCATATGATCCTCCACGCAAAATTCTTTGAAAACAAGAACGAACTGTTTTTGCACAATATATCTGATACGCACCAGTTGCTATTTAGTGTTTACCGTCAAATATTTATCGATTGAAGTCATTTTCGGTAGCTTGAACCAAACTGAAAACCGCAAGAAAATGTCTCAAAAAAATAAAGATTGATGATAATTTGCAAAGAGTCAATCGTAAAATATTCAATTAGTCTGATGCCAATAATCACATGCAGATGAAGGTTGAATTAAGAAGCAAAATGGTGTCAATAATGATCTAGTGTGACCTGGAGGATGTGACACATTTAAAAAAATTATTCAAATTTGTATTAAAAAAATTGAGATGTCAGGTCGCAAACGATGACGATGACTCATCCTCTTTGCTTCTGTTTAATACTCAACAAAAATTCAATTGATTTTAATTCGTGGTAAGCCTCTATTTCAGTCAAATTTCACCATGTTGGTTTTGTTGATAAACATATTGTACGTAATACGATCAACTCAGATAGCAGCAACATGATAAGAGATTCACAGACTACAAAATCAGGTTGCTGAACAGTCTTTTGACATCGCAGCTGGCGAGTTCAACCAATTTCAGACATTATTTGTAAATTAATCCAGTTTGCCTGATTTTGTACATCTGGCGCAATATACCTAGTTTGACAGTGATGTGTGTGTAAAATCTTTTCCATTCATAAATTACCCCATACACATTTCTCTGACCACTATACCAACTTTATACAAACTGTCATATAATATCAAAGTTATCCACTCTGAAACTACGATTTCTCTTTTCATTCAAACAAAAATTAAACGCATTCGTCGTTATGGTAGGGACAGGTCGAAATAAATAGTTTCTGATACCTATTGTATGACATTTTTCAATCCTCTATAGCTTCTCCCGACATAAAGACTCACGGATCGCTTGAATGTTTGCTTCTTAGGGTTTGTTTAGATCCGAAGAGATTGGCTCAAATTGTCCCTTCTACACAGGCTTAAATGTAACGGAAAACAACTACCCGTCCTATCAGACTTATTAGCCTCCAAAAGCCTCGGTATGGTCGAAAGTGAGTGTCCTGGGTTGCGGACGGTCACCCTTACCTTGCACCTCGCGAACTGCTTCCATACGAAGAAGTGTCCGAAAATAATCTCTGTTGAAAAAGCCCTACTCATTACCTTCTCGTGGCGGTGTTTTCACACCAAAGGGAAAGCACGAAAAGCCAATATCCGAGGCTATAACTGGGTCAAAGAACTACTGGCAGTCACCTAGAGGGAGGCTTTCTAAAAACCCGGATTTTAAACCAACCAAGAAGGGGTTTGCGAAACACACTTCAGCAGAGCTTCCTGGCACCTTGGACATTTGACCCCGTAAAAAGGGCGTATGATCCAATGAATTCATCATTATCATCATTGTACGTCTTAATACAGTGAGGCGAAATTCACTGGTCGCTGCCAAACTCATATTGCATACAAGGCAAGTGAGAATGTATAAGAAGGATGGGAATTAGGCCTATTTTCAGGCAAGGGGAAAATGTGAATCTCTATGGTCAGTACCCAGGATACACAGTCCACCTGTGCATACACACGTTTTCAAGCATTCTGGTCTGATAAGAAGTGACAGCAAGATAGCTACTGCAGTTGGTTTGCTGCCATGACCTTCGGTGTCTCCAACCATCCAGTCACGGAGTCTTTTGAGCCCTAAACCGGAAGACGAAAGAGACCTACTCGGAATTGGACGCTGGCACTGAACGGACTGTGTCTTCAACACACCACCCCGTTGCCTTGGCTAGCCTCTGGTTAGCGGAAGGCTCCTGCTGTAAACTCCTTAAAGAAATTCACCTACTTTGGCCTGGGCAATCTAGCAGCATCGTGCCCTGGAACAAATCATGGATCTTCCCCTTTTTATAAAGATTATTGTACTGTGATTTGGTTGGCAGAATCTTAACTCAGGCGTTTGTGAAAATATAATAAATATAATTCTTATAAAAATGAACATACTCTGAACAGGATGTATACGGTGACTATTAGGGATAACAAATACTTACTGTGTAGAAGCAGCTCTGTGCTGCACTTGAGAACACTTGTTCTGATGTAGTTTTAATCATTCGGTTCATTCGAGGATAGCTCCTTCTCTTTTCGACCATCTCTTTTTTTTATGACTCCCCGGTAGAGAACTTCAAGTTTCTGAGCTAACTTCAAAACTATCGAAGTTCTTGGCTCCATCCAATATACATATATATATATATATATATATATATATTAAAGGACTTGTTCTAATCAGTTCGCATCACTTATTTTTAAGCTTTTTAACTTGCGCATGGTTTCTGGGTAATTGATCAAATCGGATAATACCCGTTTCCTATCCTCAGACCGCCACCAAAGGGTATTACAGAGCATCCACTGTCTGCTTACACCTCCATACAACCGAGAACGCGTACAATGAGTTTTTATAGAATGAAACTTCAGTCGGATTTCCACAGTCCCGTTCAGTTTACCTACAAAACATCATAATCTGCTCTTGATGACAACTTACATAGTTCTTGCTGTGTCTGTATGAGATGAATTTGTTGTTTGTTTTATTGAATTTTCTATATTTCGTCAATGCTTTTACGCGACTTGATTGTAAATTCCTCATTCACCGTAATTTATAAATTTGATCCTAAATTATTTGCTGCATGCGGCCTGTCTCACTAATCCCACTGTTCTATATTCTTTTCAAAGATGAAATAGGAAAACTTCATCCCATACAGTGTTCTGGGGTTGAATGGGCATGTGGTTGTGAGCAAATAAATTTTTGTTTGGAGTTTTTCGTATGATATTTGATAGAGAATACCACGGTTTGCATGATGCACTCACCAAATTTGTGTCAAATGCTTCGCATCACATTTTACCCAATGTCTGCGTAAACCAGGTATTGTCCAACCGGGATCACAAATTTCTGCCGTTCTGAATGATAAAGTTGTACTCCATATGCTTTCGCCACCCTATTTTTACCGTTTGAACCCTTTTGTGCTTTTGTGACTCACTTTATTGAACATTCATGTCCAGAGGTCATGGCCTGAAGACACTAAATTCGGCTTGATTGGGCTTCATTCAAGCAAATATTTAACCAAGTGCCTATTAAAACAACAGATCAGTTGAATCAACTCAAACGTGATCTACCAAACCGAATACGTTTCAAATTTGTTTGGGTATGTGCTGCACATGTCACTTAATAGGTTGCCACAGTGAGTGCTGTTTACAGAGGCAGGCGATGGGTGGAAAATGTCAGGGATGGTCAAACTCAGATCTGGCATGAGAGTATGAAAATCCTGACCAGTAGTCCTGCGCATTTAGATCACATTAGGATTCTTAGATGGAGACAGTGGGATCATTGTAATTAATGGTTAGAGACACTGAGTGATACGATAAACATTCTATATTTGGCTAAAATAATGCTGGTTTTGTGGACGTTGAATTTTTTAACTTTAAGAAGCAAACGAATGCTTGAATTTTCCGAACAATCTCTGCTAAGAAGTCCTAGCTGGAACCCACATACTCCTCGCAATATACATTTTTCGCAATGAAAAGTGATATCAATCCAAAAATGTAAATTTTCACAAGCTCCTCCTCCCAATATTTGGTCACAATATACTTTCAATCTATCGCGTTGTATCACCACTTTTAAAGGCAAAACACGAATGCCACTAAGGGAGTATTGTAACATCGCTGAGTTAAACAACGTATCCTGATTCCATTCAAGTAGTGACAGTAGTGCAAAAATGCTGGAAATATTTGGATGTATGTTAGTGGGAAACCGTGCATATGTAAAAATGTTTGAAAATTGCCGTGATTCACATAAGTAATAATAAAGCCCTGTAAACCGTCGTAAACTTTTATTCTATTGGAATATCAAGGCAGAAAAATGTTAAACAATTCAGCAAACAGTGAGTAAAAAACAACATCTTCTCAGTGTTTTTGATATTTTTTAATGATTTATGAGAAACTTGTTAACGTGAAGCAGTTTATCTTTTCACATTGATTTGAATTTGAAGACTAGATACCATAAATCATTGAAAAATGCTTAAGCTTAAAACGGTGGTCCTTATCTTTACACACCTTTTATCTTTGCCGTGAGCGATCCAATTTGGCTGTCCAGTGTAGGAATTATTGCATGCTCCGGACCGGAAAATGTGGAGGCATACAGTTCACGTATCTCTCCACTATCTCTATTGACACTAGTCTGGCTGCTTGAAGAGCTTGGATCGCTGTCTTCTTCACGAAAGACTTCCGAAGTGGTCTCATAACTTTCATCGGAATCCATGGGCAGTGGTCGGTTCGACAATAGTAGTTGTTCCAGAGAAATATTCCACGGTTATAATATAGATGATTTTTGGTTGAATTTTATATGAATTCTGACTTTTTCAGAGTCCGAATTTCTACCTGAACAAATCTTTCCCACGTGAATTGCAAGGTGTCTTGACCGTTTGCATTTTGATGTTCGAGAGAAGCTGAAAAATAGATATTGAAGGATTATTCTTAAATAAAACCGTCAGCTGTATCTAATTAAAGTATGTAGATAGAATCAGCATCAGAAGACACGTAAAGGTGATGTTTCTTATTACAATAGCAAAATAATCTAAAAGGCTCTCTATCGTTGAGGTGGGTATCTTGGGTTGTGACTAGTTACACCTCCCTTGTACCTTGCACACCGCTAATATCCCATTGTGAATTCGAACACCTTTGTGGACTGAAATGTAAGCATAGTCGCCTGCACAAGTCATTACAATACAGTACAATACAATGCAATGCGATCAAGCGTCTCAAATAACCTATGCTCAGAAAGTCTTACTCGATGCCTTCATGTGACAGTGTCTACTGGCCAAAGTGAGAAAACGAAAAGGGAACATTCAGGGCTACAATTGTCTCGGTGGAAAAACCGGCAGTTCACCCATTTGGCGAAAAATCCTGGTTCCATAAAGGCGAAGAAGAAACACACAAATCAAAACTGCACAGTTTCCCGGTTGTGGTACTGCTCATTGAATCTGTTGAACATCAAGGTGTATCAGGAACCTTGGACTTTTGATCACTTTCAAAAGACGTGACGCAAAGAAATTAACATAAGCGCCAAATGGATTTTAGTTTTCACACACCATCCATGGTCTTTTGAGTCAGGCTCTGGCTAGTTAAAGACTCCTGCTGTGAAATCCGAACAACCTAAATTATTTCGCTCTTCTTTGTCATGCAGATTTTGCACCGTTCGTTTTTGGCATACAGGCGGGATTCAGAAGCATGTAAAATACAACCAAGAATTTTCAAGATGTAGAGGACTGTCAAAAATGTCTAGAATATTTTAAAGTCTACTGTGAAATTCAGTTGAAGTCACACATAGTAGGAATCAGCTTGATACATAGATGGAAGAAACAATATTTTCTAAAAGTAAAACTAATTCATTTCTTAATTTGGGTTGCTAATGAAAAATATCGGCATTCAGTACAATTTTCAAAAAGAATTGCTGGTGTGAATAGTGCTTGTCCAAATCAAATGTTGTCTAACATAGTTTTTGTAAATTCCATGCACGTGACGTTTTGTGTGTGCCTACTGCGAATATAGACTTACAGAATCACAAATCCTAAAGGTTAATTTTCTGATGAAAGCGCAAGTAGATAGTTTGGAGTTTGAAACGCTTGTTTGTTGTGTTTTGAATTAAATAAGCAAAACACCCCAACAAACAACATCTAAGATGTCTTAGATTTGATTAGGTTTGATTAATTCAAATCCAAAGTTTTATTTACTTATTACACGACATATTTTACTCTATACCCTAATCAAGTGAAAGGACTCCTTTGTCCTGAAATGATATTGCAGTGAAGGCAGACTCATAAAGCGATCAGGGATTAGATCGATATTTTACAGGTTGCCGTGAGTTTCCATGGTATCGCTGAGGATTTAAGGAGTTGTCAATTTAGATATTTTAACGTTTTCCATTTGTTGGACGCAGTTAACTAGCAATCGTGATTGTTTTTATCAGAATGTTACATCTCTGTGGTGTAAGAAACTGTTTATTACATTCCAAGCAAAATGCAATGAAGCAAAAAGGGAAGAATGGTATCAGTATTGTTATTTTAGAAGAATCAAGAATCAGCAATATTTGATTCTATGGAATGCAAGCGGAAAAATAAACTTCAAGATATTACCAAGGAGGTAGTTCATTGACAATTACTGATCTTGGCTAAAAGTTAATTTCATCATTCGGGATGGAAAAACTTCAGCGAATTGCGCAATTGTAAAAGGCTATTTAGTATTCATAAAACTCATCATGGGACCTCAAGGCACTACGCAGACAATACGTAATTTCGACATCAAACGAAACATTGAAACCAGTCTGGGTAGTCTGGTGGCAGCCCTCCCCCGTTAAGAAAGTTAGTTGTATCATAATAGATTCAGAGAATGAAAGAAAAAATTAAATAAAAAGGGCAATGTATCAAACTCAAAGCTGCAGGTTTACGCATGCGTGTTCAGACTTGAACCAACACTAATTATAATTCTATCCAAATTTCTCACTCACAACAATCTCGTGAATATGAACGACCGGAATATTGTTATTTTCCCCAAATAAACATGGTCTCCTTTATGCTAAACACAAACTCCAGTTACTCTCAATATTGAAAACAACAAAGATCGCTTATTTGAATACACATTCCTGTCCGCACAGCGGGACGGTTGACCGTCCTATTCGAGTTCCGCCGGGAATTCTCCGTTAACCACCGTCCCATTGGAGTCTGATTTGAGTCCCGTCGGGATTCGCCTATCAGAGCCTGCCCATTGGATTCTTGTTTGACTCCTGTCATGACTGAACATACTTACTTTTTATGTAATATGAAAAATTAACCGAATAAATAACTGGAATGACAAATTAAATACCAAAAAACCAGTAAAATTGTGTATTTTAGTACAGGTTAAATTAGCTCGCAGTTTTTTATTGAACTAATTTTACATGCACATGTTCCGCGGCGCTCGTCATTATTAACCATGTGGGATTTCAATCCCCGTGGTTATTCGAAGGTGGTCAGTATGAAAAGGAGCTAAATCGTATTAAGCATTAAGCACATGAGATTACAAAATGCGGAAATAGATCACCCGTCTTATATAAAAAATTTCGATTTCAAATACCGCAGGCCAGTTAGTGGGACGAAATGCAACATTGTTGTAACATGCGTGAAAAACAATAACTTTAAAATTATCATTGAAATGAAAGAAAACTCAACATTCGTTTCACAAATTCTGTAAATCCCATGGATCTCCAACGAATATTAACTCGAAAGCCAAGGTATTGATACTTGATACCAAATACAATAATAGTTACACGTATGATTATTCTTAAGTACTTAAGAATAATCCTTTCTGATAAGTATACTAAACAGATATATGTATCAAAAAGCTCACAAAAGAGACAATAAAGAATGACAAGAAGTTTCAGACAAATCACTGGAACTCACTGTATTATAAAATTTGAAGGAATACCATCAAAAGAAACTTATTTGCTAATATAATTTTCAGGCTCCCTCGTTTTGTTTTCAAAACGGCACTATGCGGGAGCAAACATCTAGCTGATTTTCGCATACGAAGACAGCAAAATGACAAAAGAATGGTTCAGAAACGGTTGACATAGAATCCTTGAACCTTTGATGGAACGCGGTATTATGACCTTCAGATTAATATGCCACTCAGGAGAAAAAACTGTATTCAGTTAGTAAAACAGAACGTTCATAAAGTTCAGTCCATTTTAGTTGAAGAATCCAGGACTTAACGGCGAGATGCCAAATTGTCCAGTTTCTTGCTCTGGTCGGCTCTTTGATTCCAAGAGCTTCGGCTTGTCGGCGGTAAGGTCTTCAGGGAATTGTAGGTTCTCAATTATCTTGCGCCTTGTAATCTTTGTCACAGGCCTGCACGCATAAACATCTCAAAAAGTTATTAGTGTAGTGTGAAAAGGAACACCCCTAATTCATTCACCGTGATACAGTTTCTCTGTTATGTTCTTCATTCCATTCCAAATATGTTACTCCACGCCCTGTCAGGCTGCAGCTTCAGTTGCGTTACCGTATCAACATCCATTATTTTGCTCGGCAGCTTATTCCAGTCACTAGCCACTCTTACTGCAAAGAGGTGACTTCTTATTCCCGGTCTGGGTCTTTCGTTCTTCAGCCACAGAGCGTGTCCTCTGAGGGTTTCATTATCTCTTATCCTAAAAATGGGCTCATTGGCGCCCTCTATGTGTCCAGCCGTTTATTATCTTGAAAGCTTCTATAAGGTCGCCTCTTCTTCTCTTGAGACAGAACAGCCCCAACTCTTGCAACCTTTGCTCGTACTGTATCCCTCTACAGTGACGAAACCACCCCGTGAAACGATGCTGTGCCTGTTCGAGAAGCTGACTGTCCCTAACCAATTCGGGCCTCCACGCTTGGACGCAATATTCCAGGTGAGGCCGGACAAACGCCTTGTATAGCGGTAAGAGAACACTAGGTTTATTTTTGAACATACTGCTCTTTCCATTTGATATAGCG